ATGAATATGTACTTGTCTTTTATATGAATGTGATATCCTGCTTTCATTTCATCACAGGTTACTGAAATTTAGCCAATTAAGACATTCTCTGTGTTATTTCCAAATTCAACTTTGTTTATTAAAATCTCACCAGAGAGTGAGAAAAATAATAATTGTGATATAAAAGTATTGTGCAATATTCTTCTTTGAGTTGGAACATAATATTATACAATTAAAATCATTTAAAATGAGTATTCTACCTTATTTTAAATTATTTGCTTTAAAATAGTTTTCACTTCTGCATTTCATATTTTGTTAAAAATTTGGTATTTTTCACTGTGAATAAGAAGCAGTACAGCGGACCAGCTGAAATCAGAGTGTTTTTTCTCTGAGTTACATTATAGTTTGAATCTTTAACAAGATAAAAACTGCAAGACACCAAGAGATGGAAACTGGCTATGGGTTCCCTTTACCCTTTTATCCTCAACAAAGGCATTGTCAATAAACATTTAAATAATATTTTACCACTTCCTAAAAATAGATTACGTAGTAGAGCAAACACTCCTGAGGTTTTGTCAAGAGCTCACAGCTGTTGGGTAAGGGTTTCTGCAAAGTGGGATGAGGGTGATGGTGGGGTTGTGCTCTGACCTCTTTTATCAGCCGGAGACGGTGGTCCATAGCTATAGCCAATCCAACTTATTTTTGCCTTATTTGGAACAAAGGAATATGTTTCTCCTGTTTATTATTTAAATATATACATATCAGAAAAGCAGGCACGGAAGATGTCAAAGTAATGCTTTCCAAAGGAAAGTGCAGATGTTAGAGATCTTGCCCACAGAACAGCTCTGTGGCCTCGGTCCTTGGAGGAGTGGAGCCCTTCCGTGCGCATGGTTTAAAAACACTGGCCAAAATTAAAAATAAATAAAAGCACTGGCCAAAAGTCATTGTTTATTTCATGACTTCCTAGGAGCATGGCGTCTCAAGCTTTCCACCAGATTTGTTCAAATGGATTTGTCCCCTTTGAGCCGTGGGCTAGTAGAGTCACCTTTAACGAGCAACAGATTTTTCCTTAGGGTAGAAACTGCAGTTGCTTCCCTGAGCCCCATGCTTGTTGGCAATAGGCAACATTGCACCATACTTTTTTCTTTTTTGACTGTCCTTAAAATCTTGTGAAATTTGTATTTAAACATCCCATGGAACCTATGAAGGACTTCAAATAGTAAGGCCTCCCTTCAACAGGGCCACCCTCAGTGACTGCATGGTTCCACAGATGATGAATGGTTGGAACCCAGTTCCCTGGAGTTCACAGATGAATTTTTAAAAGGATGTTAAGTCCTCCTTTAGTTTCTCCTGGCATTATTCCCAGCATTTTCTTCAGAGCTAAGCACCTCTAATGAAAAAATCTTTTTCTGTTTCTTTTCAGGAGTCCATTTATCCTATTCTGCCCTATATTGACTGGCCTTGGTGTACAAAACTATCTCCCCAGTTCATTCTTTGTCTTCCTCTTCTTCTTTTTTTTTAATCCTCACAGGAGGATGTTTTTTTATTGACTTTGTTTTTTTCTAGAGCATGGAAGGGAGGGAGGGAGGGAGGGAGAGAGAGACATTGATTGATTGCCTCCCACCTGTGCCCCAACCAAGACTGGGAATCGAACCTGCAACTCAGGTATGTGCCCTTGAACAGGAATCCAACCCTCAATGCTTTGGTGCAAAGGCTGACACTCTAAGCCACTGAGCCACACCACCAGGGCTGAATGTAAGCTTCTTAAATGCAGGCCTTGTTTCTTATCTGACCTTAGCCAAAAATCTTGTGTCTATCTAGTTCTGTTGAGTTTAATCCTGTCTAGGTCAATCTCTGTGTTCCATTAAAAGGGCTATTCCAAGGTCACTGCTCTACTGATAGGCTACAAGGAAGTGACTGAAGGAGATTCTCCTACCCAGTAAAGGCTATGTCCTCCCAGCCTCGCTGCTTGCCTTCCCTGGGACTGCCCTGTGTCAGTAGGTCTCCAGGGGTATAGGCTTTGGTGCTTTCCCTGGTGGGCAGACCCCTGGCGATGTGGGCCCAACAAGTCCCACATTTATTGCCAACACTCTTAGTCCAAGTTCTTCATAAGTAGTACATGGTATTTCTGTAACACTAGGGGGATTTACTGATTTATTCTCTTCCTTAGTCCTGTTGACCCCTAACCTGGGGAAACAACCTTTCTCAGGAAGGTGGTCCTGGTTAAAACACATAGCGCTTAAGAGGGGGAGCAAACATATGTCATATACACCAGGTCCCTTGAAACATAAGCTGTGCAGATGTTTCTTCCCTGCAGCGACTGTGTCAAGCAGCAAGGGTGGACCGGCTCCTGGCAAATTCCCCCATTTTTATTTTTTAAATGACTGCATGTAAATTAGCGGCCACCTCTCGGATTAGGGGATTGGGTTGTTTAAGACTCGGAAGAAGACTTGTTTGTGATTTTGCTAACAGGTCAGTCCGAGGCTTAACCCTATATCGGCTCCCCACACTAGTTCAGTGTCTGGAACACAGCAATTTTATTAAAAAATAAAATGTATTCTAAAACTTCCCCTCCAAAAACTATTTACATACACCTCTTCAGATCATGGGCTTGTATCTGCTCTATTATTTTGGATTTACTTACATATTTGGGTTCAAGTATTCATTGCATACTTACTATGATGGCCTGGTAGTTAGCATTATCAATATCATTGAGCCACATAAAATTTTTTTAAACCAGGAATCAACAAATGAATAATCATTTAAACAACATAAATGTTATCTAAATGTCACACACACACACACACACACACACACACACACACACACACAATCACTCCTAGCAACCACAGTTGGAAAATGTATATACTGTTAATCCATTGTGAGAACAACCATTCCCTTTTGTTGCCCCAGAAATGCTGAACAAAACTGATAAGGACTATCATAAAACACTGTATAACCCAAGAAATTCTGAGTCTCTTGAGCTAATGTGGCAGTAAAGCAGCCTGGGTAAAGCAGCAAGATGTCATGGCAGGTACAGTAGAGGGAAAGGAACCGGAAGGATGTCATCAGGAGATCTTGAAAAGTCATTTATTTCATCCATTTGGCTCTCATTTGAAATGTAAGTTTTAGATACGAGTCGAAGAAAGCTTTCAGCTCAAAAAGTCTATGTTTTAGTCAAAATGGAATTTCTAATAAAAAAGAGACAAGGAGTTAAAGAATCTTTTCTATGGGCAAACTAAAGAAAAAGGAAGCAGATACATACACCGTGATCACTCAGATCACTAAAACAAACAAAAACTGAAGGCAAAATATTAACTGTATTTTGCAAATCACGTAAGGAACTATCACATTTAGTGGGTGTGATGATATAGGCAGAAATGGGGAGGAAAAAAATTGCCTTATGCTTTACGCTTATGTATTATGACCAATATTTAGTAACCAACAGAATTTAGCAAAATATAAGGAGCCTGTGGCTTCTCCATTAACTGTGATAAATGAATATTTTCCATTTGAGCCTGTGGTTGCTAGGAGTGGTGTGTGTGTGTGTGTGTGTGTGTGTGTGTGTGTGTTGATGACATTTAGATAACATTTATGTTGTTTAAATGATTATTCATTTGTTGATTCCTGGTTTAAAAAATGTATATGGCTCAAATAGATCAAAACATAGATCAAAACAAAATGTATAGTCCTCCTACCTGGTACCAGTGCTAAGAATTTGAGAAATAATAGATATTATATAAGAGTAAAACCAGGTAAGTTATCTTCCATATAAATATTCGATTGGCTCACATCCTGAGACTTGTAGTCATTTTGAAAATACATTTAATTGTAAATTATAAGCCCAAGCACTCCTTCCGTTTCCCTTTTCTTGAATTATCTTCCAAAAATATGACTGCAGACAAAGCCGTAAAGAAAATAAACTCTGGGTATTTGTGTCCAGATGATGTGGCTTACTCTCTGGTCTGGATTTCAAAGATGCCAATGTAATGTGGACTGTATATAATTTTTTAAAGGATTTTACAAATTTATGGTTATTGCAGACATTTGGAAAATACAGAAAAAGTACAAAGAAGCGGAGAAAAAAAAAATCATCCAGTCAACGGAGGTTACCATTATTTACTTTCCATTTAGGCTTTATACTATATTACCTTGGTGTCAAGATTTAGTCACGTTATACACCATGAATATTTCTGCCTGTAAATAAATACTTGGCAGTTTTGAACTGTCTACCTAACATCTCATTTTGTAGCAATGCGATAATTTGTTGGCATCACGTGTAAAATAAAGAGCTACAGCTTATTATAAAAGACTTCTTAAATCCGAGCAAGAGAGAAACACGGACACAGAGAAGATAGTGGGCACAGAGAAGATAGTGAAAAATAGCAAGACCATCAATAGAAGAAAAAATAAGTGATCATAGCTCAAGTAGAGGCAAAATAATAGGGTTAATCACGTCACTTTAGGACAAAAGGGTCACCCAGCAAGCGTCTCACTTAAAGTTTTTATTTGCATTTCGAATGGAGGTTTATTTTCATTAGAGAAACTCGAGGTTTTCTATATAAACATAAGCAAATCCTCCAATCGTGTAGTCTCCTTTTAAATGCTCCGACTACCTTCAGAGAAATAAAACGTGTCCAGCACGAAAGCATATGTCAGCAGCCCCGGGACTGCCCAGGGTGGTCCGCGCCGAGCGGAGCCAATCTGCGACCGGCCAGGCCGTCGCCAAGACAACCAGAGGCGCGGGGAAGGGGTGGCGAACAGAACCCTCAGCGAGGGAGCGAAGACGCGCCAATGGCCGCGCGCCCGGGACTTGGCGCCCCGCCAGGGCTGCGCATGCGCCGTCGTCGCTTCCCGCTCGGGGGCGGGGGGAGCTTTGGAACTCTCACTTTGCCGTCACAGGGCAGATGAGCACGGTGCCTCCGCCCTCTCCCTCCCCTTTCTACCCTCCTCCCCTTTCCCCTCCCCTCGTCCCTCAGTCCTCTCCCTCCTTCCCCTCTCCCCCGCCGTCTGGAGTCCCCAGCGAACACCAGCTTCCGGCCAATGGCCGTCTGCGAAAGGGTGTCCCGCCTCTTCCGCTTTTACACAGGAGGTCGCAGCGGCGCCTGCGCGTCTACTGCCAGGGTCAGCAGGCCGATCCCCTGGGCGGAACACCAGCGCCCGGCGGAGCCACGCCCGGGGGGTCCATGGCGATGAGCTATAACTCGAAGGATGAGGTGGACGGCGGGCCCCCGTGCGCTCCCGGGGGCGCCGCCAAGAACCGGAGGCCGGATAACACGGCCTTCAAACAGCAGCGCCTGCCGGCTTGGCAACCCATCCTTACGGCTGGCACGGTGCTCCCCACCTTCTTCATCATCGGCCTCATCTTCATCCCCATTGGCATCGGCATCTTCGTCACCTCCAACAACATCCGCGAGATCGAGGTGAGGGAGCGCGCGGCGTGGGAGCGGGCGCCGCCTGGAGCGGGACCCTCGCGGCCTGCCCCCCGCTCCCCCCCGTCCCCCCGTCCCGGTCCTCAGCCCCCGGGAGGCGGGCCCAGGCCTCGCCTCCCCGCACCTGCCCTCTCCTCTCCCTCGGGTTCTGGTCTCTCCGCGGCTTTCCGAATTCGCACTTTCGTCCGCGCTTCCTCTTGCGATTCACACCATTAGGGACGGAGTGAGCGTTTAGTGCAGAGGGTGGGGCCGAGGAAGAACACCCCTTCCGTGCGCGGTTGATGTGGCTCCGTGAGGATGTTTATTATTATTATTATTATTATTATTATTTTTTACCCCCAACGGAGGTTAAGAGCGAGAAAGGAGAGAGAGAGAGAGAGAGAGAGAGAGAGAGAGAGAGAGAGAGAGAGAGAGAAAAGTTATATCCAGACATGACTCCGGGAGAACTGACGTAGCCAGAATGTCATTCCCTGCGTGGGAATTGTCAGAGATGATCACCTTGGCCATTGTTGGGCGAGGACCGGAGTCAGGCATGACGTCTTGGTGGTTTTTTTTTTTTTTTAGCTAAAGAAGTTGTCGTGTGTTGCCAGGTCACAATTAGGACCGATGACCGACGTGTGCACAGGACCTTTTATTTGGAGCAAATTGATGCTTTCAGTTGTAGGGCACGATACAGGTAAAAGGTAACCTGAAACTTCAGTTCCGGATATGCTTTTAGGCTCTGTGTATTAATAATCATGCCCTACATCCGCCCTAGTTTTTGTTCTTTCTAGATTTTAAACTTTTTTTTTTTTTTTTTAAAGAGAGTGAATGATCACAGAATAAGTGGTACACTGACCTGAGTATTTTACTGCTCTAAGACATGATAGAGAAACTTGGGGAAGCATCTTGAATCGCCAAAGCAGCCATCATAGGCTGTGCGTCCATCTGCAGTGAAGACAGGGTGATAGAATGTAATACTTCGTATAGGTGTCCGGTGTTAAACACCTGCTCGTCGTTTTCCTTGAATATCTGAGGGTATTTTTATCCGTTTGGAGGGGCAGTACCTGGCACCAACTAATCTGGATTTCTTCGTTCTATCAGGTTATATCATCTCCTTCCCCTCTATTTTATGCATGTGAGTTAATGGGGCTTTCAGAGTCATTTTATTTCAACTACAGGAATAGGCATAAAAATACCTGTTTTCCAATTTAATTTACCTTACCTCTGAAAGCAAAATTGATATGTATTTTTAATTGTACAGTGTTTAATTGTACACTTCTAGGTTAGTAACAGTAATGAGAATAGTATCTATAGCATAGTTTTTAAATATTTTACTAAAAATTCAGTTTAGTAACTAGAGAAAGAGTCACAGTCTGTTTTCCCAGTGTGCATTTTTATGTGTTTTATCATTTCTGTCTCCCGAACAGTCCTTCAAATGTAGTACCTCTTGTTCTCTCAGCTACACTAGGATCAAACATACGAGTGAAGTAATGTATTGCAAGGACCGTGGGCTCTGTCCGGGCTGTGGTCAGGCAGAGCTGGGTTTAAATTCCATCTTAGTCACTAACTAGCTGAGTTTCTTGGAAAACTTCATCTCTCTGAGCTTCAAGTTTCCTTATCTGTAAAATACATAAATAATGCCTATCTTTTAAAAATATGAGAATTAGAGTCAGTGTAGATAAGACTCTTGGTATTTATTAAGTTTGTATAATAAATAGCTACTATTATTATGATTATTAATCAGATGATAAATGGAGCCAGACAGGTTGACATTTGGTGGTAAGCTAGAAGAATATTGTAAAGTTGAGGCAGAAACCCAAACCCAGATGTCTTTATTTCCATCCAACCTTAAGCTTTTGCACTACATTAGGATTCTTACTGCAGTGTTAGGAGGTAAGAAGAAAATAATTTAACATTAGATGTTTTATCATCTTATTTAAACTTCTTAAGATAATAATAATGAAAGTAGCAATAATTTGCAATTTTATGTGATCGGTATTTATTATCAAAACTCAGCTTTGTTAGTATATATTATACTATGAAAATAAATATTTACTTCCTTTAAAACTTTTGGGTTTTGAAATGAAATAAGGCTCTTCACCTTTACACTAAGTAGTTGGTGACATGGAAATTTCTTAAATAATTCTTCTGTATATACTTCTGATTCAAGTGGCTTGAAGGGTCTACTGCAGCTTGGTCTATCCTTTTAACCGTTAAAAGGATACTGAAGTTAAAAGTCAAGGCATTAGAGTTGAAGTTCCATCTCTGTTAGTGACCCTAAGCATATTTTTCAGTCTCAGGTTTTTTACTTGAAGAACCAAAAGATTCAGACTCGATTTCTAAGGTGATGTTTAATTCTAAAATTGTATGACTTCCAACTTTAATGTGATTTTTAAAAAAATGCTGCATATCCAAATTGCATCTCTTTTGGAACTAGAGGAAATGAAAAGTAGAACTGATTAGGAATTTTGTAACCAACACTGACATAAATTGTGGGAATAGAATTAATTTCCTTTTTTTAATTTGGCTGTTAAATATGTTGAAAATTGGTTCTGAATTAAGCCTGGAATTTATTATGAGAAAAACCTAGGGAGCTTTCCCAAAACACATATGCTTGCTTCAGCCTACTCACCACCCTTTACCAGATACTAGTTTAGTTTAAAATATGCTGAGGGTTATTTAAAGTAAAGGAGCAATGAAAATTTCTTGCCAACATTTACTTTCATACTATAAGTTGCTCACGCCTCTTAACTTATTCCTCATCTTTTAAAAAATTTTAAGAACGCCAAAACCGGTTTGGCTCAGTGGATAGAGCGTCGGCCTGCGGACTGAAGGGTCCCAGGTTCGATTCTGGTCAAGGGCATGTACCTGGGTTGCGGGCACATCCCCAGTGGGAGATGTGCAGGAGGCAGCTGATCGATGTTTCTCTCTCATCGATGTTTCTAACTCTCTATCTCTCCCCTTCCTCTCTGTAAAAAATCAATAAAAAATATATTTAAAAAAAAAAAATTTAAAGAACATTTGTTTTTGTGTCAAATTACTAGGCCCAAGGAGCTTTGCCAATAGTTCTTTTGTAATATAGCTTAAAGTGCTAAGATTAAAAATCCAAGCTTTTTAAGTATAAAAATCAGTGGGTCTTTATGATAATTCTAGAAATGTTATACTAAAAATTACTATTGTTGTAAAGCACATTGGACTCACCTAACAAAGATGTAAAAAAGGTGTTTTTAATTTAATGCTTATATTTGTTAATATATCTTCCTCCCACCCCCATTAGGTTCATATATCTTGTTTAGTTGGTTTTTAGATTTTCTGTAATAAAATGAAAACTGAGGTTGTTAATTTTATCTTTCATAGGAAAATATTTAATGTCTCACTCAACATTAAGATTTAATATATATATGTATGTGCATATATAAATATATTTTATTAATCCTCACCTGAGGGTATTTTTTCCATTGATTTTTAGAGAGAGAGAGGGAGAGAGAGAGATACATTTATTGATTGCCTCCCACATGCATCCCAACTGGGGCTGGGATTGAACTCAAGACCAGGGCCCACGTTCTAACCACTGAGCACACCAGCTAGGGCTATCTTCATATGTTATTAGCAGCAATGAATAAATATTTCCTTTAATTTGGCAATTATAGGAGTCAGGCACATTTTTCTACCTCAAAGATAATGTGTTTCTAATTTAAGGCTCTTGTTGGTGAGGCTGAGATATTAATTGAATAGAGCTAACTTGAAAAAAATAGTGAGTATTCTGACCTTTTACAAAGGCATTTGTCAGTGTGAAGTTATGTAGTTTAATGGTTAGAATTGGATGAGGACATTATTCAGAATAATATTCAGAGTAAATTAAAAAACTAAACATTAACTTTAAATTAATATTGCCAAAAGTGTTCACGATAAATTTTCATCAAATTGTAGTGGATTAGCACCCCCTCCCCTGGTTGATAGAAAACTCCAAATCTCATTTTTGTCACTTTATATTTAATCCTATTTATTTTATTTTTCTTGTTTTTGATAAAAATACAGTTTTATTTATTGTTTTACTCCTGTGCAACTTGGATTCTTAGATTCCAAGATTTTTAAGAGGATTAAAGTTCTTTTCTGCATTGAGTGTAAGTTGCTTTGTAGATTGTTAAACAATATAAGCACTTTATGATAAGAAGTTTAACGATTTTAATATTCACATGACTTGCAGTTGCTTAGAAGCCGACTCTTGGAAATTAAGAGGTTTGGGGTTAGTGTTTTTAATTTGTTACTCCAGTAACTTTAGTACTTAGGTCAAGGCATGACAAAGTAAATATGGCCAGCCAAACCGGTTTGTGAGCCCCAGGAACTGAGAATGGTTTTACAGATGAACATGTACCATTGATTTGATGATAGAGAACATTAAGTTTAAACACCCAATTATATGAAATGTTTCCCTCCACCCCAAAATAATTCCATTCTTAATAATAGACTGGTGTTACCAGAAAATTGTACACAATTGTTATTATATTTTGAATGTCAACAATAAAAATTAGTGCAAATTTGTTTTCTCTTTTGGTATAGAAGAGTCTGTATAGTATTCTCAGTCTTGCCTCTTGGTTTGCAAAGCCTAAAATACTTTCTGGCCCTTTACAAACAATACTTTCCTGCCCTTAACGTCAAGTTTTAAAGAAACATACCGACAAATTTAGCATTTGTTACAAAAATATCAGTATTTAATTATACTTTCTAATCCTCAATAATCTTTTAGTTAGGTATAATGATCCCTGACAATTGCTTGTGTTCTTCCTTCTTTGTACAAATTTAAATACCTTAGCTAAATTTACCATTAATCTTGGCTCAGGTAATATCCTTCTCCTTTTCGCTGTCACATCAGATAAAGTTTAAGCAACTAAAGAAAATTGCTTTTGAAAGTTTTACTTAGGTTACCTTTTGCATTCGTTAGAGTCTCTAAAAGGGACCCCTGACAAATTCCTGAGTGTCGACTGATCAGTTCAAAGGGGCACTTAAAA